AAATATCTTCTTTTGTGTTCAACATAAGAAAGCAACTCATACAGGTTTGGAACGACATGAGGGTGAGTAAATGATGACAGCATTTTCATTTTTGGGTGAACTATCCTTTTAATGTTGCCTGATTTCTGGCTTGTTTAAACTAGGTGTGAGGACTCAAGACGCCAAAAAGTGGGTAGTTCCACAATTAGTTCTGGTACTATGAAAAGGTTCCTGCGGTGCGAAAGGCCCTAATGCTTATTTTAATTTTTAAGTACTGAAACCATATTATAAAAAGGCAATAACCTGGTTTATATTATATTAGATAGCCTACCAATTTCTAAGGCCTCTAATTAAGGCATCTTGTTGTATGTACACAATACTATACTTTCTGTCATCTGATTGATAGTTTATATACTTAGTAGTATAATATGCTTTTTTCAGGTACAGGTCCTTCTAAACACATTCTCCTTCAGGTCGTGGTTCACGTGTCATTTTGCTGTAAAATCTTTACTAATTTTTATAAAGTAAATGTAAGAAGAACTTTTATATTGTAACATTTGAAGATGAACATTTACTGGATTGAAACAACTTAGATTTACTTGATTATCCATAAATCTTTTTAGAGAAATCATGTTAAAATATAAGTATCAAATATGACACACACACACGCACACACACACATATATATATATATATGATAACAAATATGATACTTTTGAGAAATATTTATCTCTCAATCATCTCTCAATTCATTGTATTGCAATGCATACATACATTTTGCCTCCACAATAAAAACTACAAAGCTTTATCATAAACTAAGCATTTAAATATTACTAAGAAATATTATTAGGAGATATAGAGTGACAACTAATATGCATTTCATATGCATTTTATGTAAGAAGTCTGCTATTACGGCTATAGGCTCCAGAGCTCATTGACTTACATTATAATTAGAATTTCATCTTACGTTTTGGCCACATAAATATCAGCGACTGCACCAAATTGCACATTTTTGCTCAGTTTGGGCCTCTGAATAAATCTGAGGTGTTTTTCCTCCTTGACTATGAGCTCCATATTCTCCTATATCAGTCATACAAGACTGATGAATCAAATATGATTTTTTTGTTTCAACTAAACTTTTCCATTTCAAAAAATGACCTTTTCTGACTATTATTTCATACGTTGGCTTTACATGATCAAATAATGTTGATTAAAGTCAATGTATTGTTATTCTCATGATGAATCCAAATGTATTTATTTCCTGACAGTGTACATTTAAACACACACAGCAGATCTAGCTAATTTAAGTGCACATTAAAATCTCAAAAAGAGGAGAGGCAGCTTCGAAGAGAGAAAGATATGTTCTTTACAGTGAAACAGCTATTTTTATGGGCTGGCCTGTTCTCTTCTGGGTAGCCTAACCCTCATCACAGGACCCGGGACAGCTTTCCAGGTTGTCCCCCCACCCAAACTATCAACCCCCTCCCTAGCACAGCCCAGGTCTGCAGAGGAAAAGTGTCAGGGAAAGACTAGTAGAGTTGGTGAGATCACTGGTGCCTTTCAGCATGGGCAGTACGTATGAGCTAACCTGGGTGTGGGACTCGTTTGACCTTTTGGCTCAGGCTGGCCGCTGCACGCAGACTGCAAGCACAGCAGGAGGGTGGTGCTGGTTGCCAGACTGGTGTCTCCAGGCTCCAGTACAGGGAAAAGAGGCCCTAACCACAGCAGGTGGTCAGCAACATGCCAGATCGTCCATGCTGGAGCTGTCATTGCATTGTCTTTCAGAGTCCTGTCATGACTTGCCTGATGTTTGTTCCCTAATCGGACAGATATTAAGGCAGACGGAGAGTGAAACACGTTTAACCCGTGGTGGGCTACAGGTCAAGGATGTGCTGGGGTTTGCATTGAACAGGTCAGGAGGTAATTGTGTGCTCAGATGGAGAAGGCTACAATGATTAACCTCGAGAAAATAAAGCAGGATTCTGTTATGGAACTGAGTAAGGGATAGCGCTGAACTGTCAACAGAAAGTTAAAATCGTAAAACCGTAAAACCTAAAACGTTGCTACCATATTTTGTACGGTAAAATTCCGGCAACCACAGCTGCCGTTTTTTTTACCGTAAATTTTACGTAATTTTTTTTACAGTGTACCACAGCTATTGTTGCTACTGTAAAACAATTAATTAAAACAAACATTTTAAACACATTTTCTTTTTTAAATAACTTTGGTGACTGAACGATATCTACATTTTATTGTAGTAATAATAATAATTGTAATAACTTTTGTAATAAAGGTTTACCATATGAACTGAATCCCATAGCATTAATAGCCCACTTAAGTCACATCTGTGACCAACATTCAGTTTTTAGTTTAAAAAAAGTTTACTTGCTTACTTAAACTTTATTATTTAACTTTATTTACTTAAAGATAAGCAGTTTGCAGCACTGATCTATCCAAATCGTGAAACTGATACCAAATACCAGTGTGTCTTTACTAATAGTATCATATAGTATTCTCAACAGTTAATGTCGCTGTTTACTAAAAGGCAGCTAGATGTATTTTACACAGTTGTTAACTGTAGGCAAAAGGAAAATGCAAACTTTTTAGATGGTGTAAATAGTCACATGACCAGAGGCAAAGTCTTCTCACTTAAAAAAAAAAAGCTATTTATTTAGCCCATTTACTTACAGTTTGCATCACTGAGCTATCAAAGAGGTAAAACTGATCCCTAATTATAATAACATCCCTTACGAAAATTAACCATGGTTTTATTATAGTAAAAGTGTATAACCATGGTTTTTGGTGCATTGATTGCCATTTGTATAACCACAGTTTTACTACAAACCATGGTTAAACTGTGGTTAGTGTAGCAAGACCATGGTTAATTTGTGGTTACCATGGTTTAACTATATATATATATTTTATTTTGGTATTTGTAGTAAAACTGTGGTTAATCAATCTGAAGAAGAAAAAAAAGACATGGTTACTACACGTTTACTATAATAAAACATGGTTAATTTTCGTGATGTGCAAATGTGCCTGTACTAATTAGAACATAATTCCCAGCAAACTAGTAGTTTTATGTTGTTGTGTAGCCTACTAAAAGACAGCCCATGTGCGCCCGCCCCACCCACGAGCTGCAGCGGGCTATTTAAAGCGTGAGACCATCAATGCAACATTACACATCATGCTGCATTTATCTCTGGATTGGATTATTAAACACAGTCAGTGTATTTAAAACCAACTCAACTTCGTGATATAATCAAACGAAGTAGCAAGACTTACTGTCAGCTCAGGACTTATTCTTTATTA